TTCATTACAGGCTCAGATGACAGTTTCTCTCTCTCTCTCTCTCTCTCTCTCTCTCTCTCTCTGTCACAGACACACACACACACACACACACACACACACACTCCATGACACACACAAAACCATTCACACAATTCTTCAAATTGCTCCTGCCAGTTCTTCAGGTATAAAACGTAGTCTGAATCCAGCCTCATTTTATAATATTCTCAAGTTGTTACTTAAATCCAGTGTGAAATGTGAGTCATCTACATGGCTGTTAAATAAATCTTTTCTATGAATTTCTAAGTTCATAGAAGTAGATTCTTCCAAAAAAATTATTTGGCTCCAGGCACACTCTGCTGGGATGTGTTTTGCTCCTCTGTGACGTCATGGAGACCAGGAATAAAGCAGGTATGCATGGAGTAACCTCCCTTGGGGATCAATGAGCAGTATTGGAATCATTGCCTCATCTCAGGACTGGGGTTCTTAAACTCTCATATCCTTACAGTCCACTTAGGCTTGTCACTTATTTTCTTCAGATAGTATAATACCATTTTTACTGAATTATTGATCATCAGTGCTTAGGTTATTAATTTAACAAATATTTGCTATATGCCTAAGTAAAATGGCTCACAGGAATATATCCTTTATAAATATTGACTCAATAAAAGGCAGAAAACCTAAACAGAATCCTTCTCAAAAAAAAAAAAAAAAAAAGAGTAGTGGTGGTTGGGCGCAGTGGCTCACATCTGTAATCCTAACACTTTGGGAGGAAGAGGCGGCCGATCACCTGAGGTCAGGAGTTCAAGACCAGCCTGGCCAACAGGGTGAAATCCTGTCTCTACTAAAAATACAAAAATTAGCCTTGCATGGTGGCACATGCCTGTATTCCCATTTACTTGGGAGGCTGAGACAGGAGAATCACTTGAACCCAGGAGGCAGAGGTTATAATGAGCTGAGGTCATGCTACTGGACTCCAGCATGGGCAACAGAGCAAGACTCTGTCTCCAAAAAAAAAAAAAAAATGTACTGAGAAGTGAGCTGAAAAGAAATAAATGGATTAGCTGTCCTTTGGAGATCACTGAATGCACTGGAAGTTTCTTCTTCAGGCCTTAAGAATCACTGAGTCCAAATAGACCTGGCAGTAGGTCAAAGATGGCCTAGTGCAGGGGAAGGCTGGGGCGAAGGTCAGTTAAAACACTCGTGTCCATAACAGGTGAGGAGGGATTGATTCAAAGTAATAAGCATGGGTATGAGCAGGTAGGAAATGCAATAAGACAAATAATGGAGGTAAAATTACCAGCTACCTACCAAAGATGACTGTGATATTAGTAAAAATAAGAACAGTGAAGGAGGGATTTGTCACCCCAACCACTGTCATCCTCCAATGTCTACCCTTGGCTTTAATCCTGAATTTCCAGCTACTGAAAATTTCAGTACTATCCCACTTTTGCTAAGTTCTTTGGACTGCAGCTCAGCTGTGGACTTGCACCAAAGCCACTCCAAGCTCAGCTACTGCTGTCGCTCCAGTGACTGCCCTGTCGATTTGCAGCTATGTTCGTCTTTTTGTCCTGTACAACTTCTGATAGCTATCTACCTCTTTCTGTCTCTCTACCCACGTTATATCACCTCAGACAGAGAATCCACCTCTTTTGAGGATGGGATCAGAAGACTCATGTTTCACAAATTTTACCTTGACTTCCTTATGCGTGAGAATGTTAGAAATTTTTGGTTTTTTTATTTTTATTTTTGGTTGACACATAATTAGGCATATTTATAACATACAGAGTGATATTTCAATACATGTATATAGTATGTAATAATCAGTTTAGTATATCCATCACTTTACTTACCATTTCTTTGTGTTGTGAACATTTAAAATCTCCTAGCTTTTTGAAAATACACAATAGATTACTGTTAACTATATTCACCTACAGCGCTATAATACACTAACACTCCTATCTACCTCTGATTTTTTTCCATTTTTAACCTCTCCTGTCCCCCTCTTCCTCTTACCCTTCCCGGCCTCTAATAACCACAATTCTACTCTCTACTTCCATGAGCTCAATTTGTTTTTAGTTTCCATATATGAGTGAGAACATGCAGTATTTATCTTTCCGTGCCTGACTTATCTCACTTAACATAGTGTCCTCCAGGGTCATCCCTGTTGCCACAAATGACAAAATTTTATCCTTTTTTTAATAGCTGAATAGTATTCCATTGTGTGTATATACTGCATTTTCTTTATCCATTCATCTGTTGATAAACATTTAAGTCAATTCCATATCTTGGCTATTGCGAATAGTGCTGGAATAAATATGGCGTGCAGATGTCTCTTCAATATACTATTCTCCTTTCCTCTGGATAAATACCCAGTAATGGGATTGCTGGATAGTAAGATAGTTTTATTTTTCGTTTTTTGAGAAACCTCCATACTCCATTTTGATGGCTGTACTAATTTACATCTTCCACTGAAAGTGTGTAAGAGTTGCTTTTTTTGTGCATTTTTACCGGCATTTATTACTTTTTATCTTTTTGATAATAGCCATTCTAACTGGGGTAAGATATATTATTATGGTTTTGATTTGCATTTTCCTAAATATTAGTGATGTTGAAAAAATTTTTCATATACTTATTGGCCAATTATATGTCTTCTTTTGAAATGTCCATTTATTCCTTGACCATTTTAAAATCAGATTGGGTGTTTTTTTTTTCCTGTTGAATTAAGTTCTTCATATATTTATTAGTGGCTTGTCAGATGAATACTTTACAGATATTTACTTTCATTTTGTAGGTTGTTGATTCTGTTGATTTTTCCTTTGCAGTGCAGAAGATTTTTAATTTGAGATAGTCCCATTTGTCTATTTTTATTTTTGTCGCTTATGCTTTTAAAGTCTTAGCCATAAAATCTTTGCCTAGATCAATGTCCTGAAGCATTTCCCCTATGCTTTCTTGTAGTGGTTTTATAGTTTGTTTGAATACTTAAACATAGTCTTATGTTTAATCACAGGGGAAATTAATCCATTTTGAGTTTATTTTGTATACAGTGAAAGACACAGATCTAATTTATTCTTCTACATGTGGATATCCAGTTTTTCCAGCACCATTTATTGAAGACAATGTTTAATTAGAAATATAAACTAAACTTTCAAAATTACTACTCACTTCCACTAAACTATGAAGCCTTGACAGTAACTAATACTTGGAACTTATCTTTACTAAAAATAACTCATTCTGGCTGGGCAGTGGTTCATGCCTTGTAATCCCAGCACTTTGGGAGGCTGAGGCAAAAGGATCACTTGAGGCCAGGAGTTTGTGATCAGACTAGGCAACACAGCTAGTATGAAAAATATTTTAAAGTTATCTGATGTGGTGGCATGCACCTCTCTAGTTTTAGCTTTTCAGGAGGCTGGAGCAAGAGGATAACTTGAGTCCAGGATTTTGAGGCTGCAATGAGCTATGGTATCCCACTATCATTTTGATTTGCATTTCCCTAATGGTTAGTGATGCTGAGCTTCTTTTTAAGTGCTTATCAGCCTTTTGTATGTCTTGGAGAAATGTACATTTAAGACATTTGCCCATTAAAAATTTTTTTTTCTGTTTTTTGTTGTTGAGTTATAGGAGTTTTTTATATTCTGAATATTAATTCCTTATCAGATATATATTTTGCAAATATTTTATCCCATTCTGCTTGTTGCCTCATCACATTGTTGACAGTGTCCTTTGATGCTTAAAAGTTTTACATTTTTATGAAGTACAATTTATCTATTTTTTCTTTTGTTGTTTTTTGTTACAGGGATCCAATACTAGCCCTGGTGTCTGAAGTGAGGGCAGTCCTGTGGGACTGCGCCCTTAACCTGTGAAGTCTGATGCTAACTCTGGGTAGATAGTGTCAAAAATTGATTGAATTATAGGACACCCAGTTAGTATGCATGGACGACTAGAACACTGATTACTGTTATTAAAAATTCTGACAAATACATAGTATTATTTTTCATGTTTTATAGTTTATATAAATATTTAAATATCACACAGTATTTTCTTCTGCAATCTGTTTTTTATGTTCAACATTATTGTTTTAGATTTATCAATATTGATTTATATAGCTCTAGATCATCATTTAACTTCTGAATCATTCTTCTTGCAATGAGTGTTTCATAATTTGTTTATCATTTCCCTTACTGATGAACATATGGATTGTTTCCAATATTTCATTAATATGGTGAAGTCTGCAATGGACATTTAAAAACATCTCCTTATGCAAACATGCAAGTTTATCTAGGTACAGAGTATGCACATCTTCAATTTAAGTAAAAACTGCTATATCATTCTCCAAAGTGATTACACTCATTTATACTCCACTAAGAAAGTATGAGAATCCTTAATGATTCTCATCCTCACCAAACTTTTTTTGTCAGACTTTTACATTAAGCCCATCTGATGATTGTGAAATAGTAATTCTTTGCTGTTTTATTTTGTATTCCCCAATTACTAGGGAGATTGAGAAGTTTTACCCATGTTCTCTTGACAATCATTTTTTTCTTCTGTGAATAGTCTATTCATGAACTAATGGATTAATATTTTTTAACTGATTTCTAACCATTGAAAAATACATTATGGACTCTAATTCTATACTGGGTTATGATGATATCTTTATTTTTAAAAATAATGTATTTAGTTTGTAACATAAAAATAATACGTTTATTATTAAGAATTAGAAAATAAAGAAACATATTGTAAAGAAATGTAAAATTCCCTGTGATCACATTTCCCAAGAATAACTATTTTCAAATAGGGATCCATCATTAGAGTCTTTTCTTGTTATGCATATATACTTTTTTGTTTTAAAAAGCTAGGATTGTATTATACATATATCTACTTTACTGTTTAGCTCTTTTAGCATTTAGTCAATCACTTAATGGATAGCACTCATTTAGCTGTTAATGAAGATAAGGGCCATATTTTATACTATTTGGAGTCCTGCATAGCACAGAATCTTTAATAAAAATTTATTAAATATTTACTTGCTGTTTCCTCCATTTCAGCACCTCCAAGTGTGAATGGTGTCATGGTCCCAAGTTTGGTGAAGGTTTTCGTGTCATTCGATCCTGTGATATTTTTGGAGCAACACAGCTTCCTGTTATGTTTTATGTCTGTTCTTCTTCCTGCTATAGAATAATAAAGGAAAGTAGTTTTGTTTTAGAGGGTAGTCCTAGTAGAAAAATAGCACTGGATGTGGAGTTGTCAAAAGAATTGTAGTACAATGATTTATCATATATATACATATATATATTTACACATATATATGAACTTTACTGGCTTTTACTACATATATATCTACATATAATAATCCATCTCTTTGAAAGTACAGGTTGTTTGGAAGACATGTGTCTTCTCATATGAATTCTCTTTGTAATTCTAGCTCCTTATGAAAGTTTGTGATTGTTAGGTAATTGTTGCAGAATAATTACTCAAGGAGGATTAGTAAAGCCTTTAGATTTAAATAGAGATCTGGAAAATTTCAGAACCTGTTTACTATAAAAGGAAAAATGTTAAAATCCTTTGCAAAATGGATTATATCTAACTGGCCTCTTCATGCATCCATACTAAGTGATGAGATAGCACTGCAGAGTCCTCAGTGGGGTTTGTGCTGCATACAGCTGCAAGGTCATACATCCACGTTCTCAATGCTTGTGCATTTCTGTGGGAATCTGTCCAGTGCCTACCATCTCAATTGTAGGTTGTTTTGGGGAATAAAATATTAATTCTATCCCCATTTATTTGTTTGAATTAATTTCCCAAGTTTTTAGAGAACTGGTACAGTCTTTAATTGTTACCTTGAACTTCATTTCCTAAAGCAGAGAAACTGGACATTTGCCTGCTTCCATAGGCTAGCACCAGTGTCTACCAAGGCCTACAGTGATAGCCTGACAGGAAAATAAAGTACAACTTACAAAATAACATTGCAAAGCAGCATATGCATACAGTAAAACTTGCTTTAAGAATTAACATTTGGTAAGAGAAAGATAAAAGATCATTTTGATATACAAACAACTTTAGAATGGCATAGAATTGTTTAATGTAACTTTTACATGCAGTTCACTCAAATCTCAAATATCATTGCCAGTTAAATTTGGTGATATGAAATGATTTAAAATTACACAGCTATCTTTAGAGAATGTCAGAAAATATACATTATGTCATGTTTGTGTGTATCATTTTGTGATATCATTTAAATAAAGATAAATCAGGCAAAATAATTTTTCTGACTATTGATTTCAATAAATTGTGATGCTTACACACTTTTCCTTGAGACTCTGTTTCATTTTTAAGCAGAACCAGGTGAACTTTGCTGAGCTTGAGAAGTATACACTGTATTCTCCAGCACAAGATTAAAATTATTTATAATGAAAGAAGTAACTACCATATTACACATGTAATACAGAAAGGTATATTTATAGTATGGTAAGTTAATTCATTAAAATGTAATACACTCAGAAAACAAGATGAAAAAATAATTCTAACTCCCCGTGGCATATAGCTTATTAATACTCACACTTGTTCCTCAAATATTTCTTGGGGAAAGAAGAATGTTTATTTATTCAAAACATGTTGGGTTTGGGTTTAACTGAGTAGTTTTACATTGACATAGGAAATAAAAAAATAGCTTTCAAGGGAAATGACAAATTCTGAGAGACATTTCAAAACAAATAAACCTAGATACTTGGACAAATATGAAATATACTTAGAACCCAATCTCTTCATGCTTAGTATAAACCTTGAATCTGAGGGATCTTTTACAGATCTTCCAAAAAAAGTAACTTACAGTATTTTTGAATGAAAGTAAGACATATTTATTATAGAAATATTAGAAAATACAACTAAACCTAAGAAGAAATCAAAATCCTCCTTGTAATGCTGCTATAACTCAGTAATCCACTGCTTACAGAGTCTGAATAACAAGAGCAAGGTTTGGTGGAAAGTGACTTTATTCAAGAGCTACCTGAGGGGAAGTAGTACAGACTCCTGCCTTTAGATACCACTTCAGCCTTCAGGGCAGAAGACAAGGGCTTTTTAAGAGGTGATAGGGGAAGAGGTGCAGGGTCTGTGTGACTTGGTTCAGAGGTCTTACCTATCAGGTAGTCTGGCTGGTGCCTCGGCAGGCAGCTACCTTGTAAATTCAGGCAGTCTCCTGGTGTCTGAGAGTTCCAGATGGGCCTGATTTGCTTCACGTTTTAGTCTCTGGAACTTCTAAGTAAACAGATAAACTTGCTGCACCTGATGGAGAGAAGGTAAAGGTTACAATTGCATTCCTAAAGAGCTAAGTAGGAAGTGGGGTAAAGGAAAAAAAAACATCATGTTTTCCTTTTAAAAATGGGGTACTTGGCTATACCACCACCCAATGAAAGCCAGAGATAATTATTTCAACATGTGTATGTGTGTATACACACATTTATATACTGTATTACTCTTTTTTAAAAAAATGGGATTATCTTCCTCACAGCACACCAAAGGTTAATTTCCAATTTTAGACATAAAGTTAAAAATACAAAAATAATACTTACGGTCTTTAAAAAATCGATTTAGAAAGTTTTTTTTAAGCTGGAAATGAAACCTTAAAGAAGATGAACAAATTTATCATGTAAAAAAAATGTTTAAAATGTATAGCAAAAATAACGAAAAATAAAGACAAGCAGAACACTGGGGAAAATATAGTATATATGACCAGCAAAGAATGAAGTTTTCAACAAATATACATATGTTGTGGATGTATGTATACATCTGGCACAACTCATTGAGGACCTCAAACTGTGTCATCAAGGCATTATCTATTTTTCTATCTAATCTAGCTCACTTTATCATCTATCTGTTACCAATACTTTTTTTAAAAAAAGTCTCATATCCAGGTAATATGGATGGCCACTAATCATTCCAGGCTCATATACAAGAATCTCAGGAACCTCAAAGGAAAACACACTATCTACCCCAACTGTTACTGTAAAATACATTAGGGATGATTTTCATTGGCTCAGCCTGGGTCACCAATCCAAATACAAACAAATCATTAGAGCATGATTTGTTTACCCTGGCCAGGCCTGGGTCACATGCCCATCTTTGGAACTAGGTAAGGCAGAGTTAGGCCCTCTCAAAACATGCTAATGATATTCTCCACAAGAAAGAAGAATTTCTGGAACTGAAAATTAGGGGAAGAAAAAGTGTTTTGGGCAGCTAAAATTCTTGAACTTCCTAACATGCAATAAGCTGTTACAAGTAACAATAACAACAAAAAGATGAGCTTAATATTTGCATAGCTATAACAATCAAAATTTATTTTTTACCATAATAAGTCTAATAATTTTCTGCTAAAAGGTATTTGCACATATGTCTAAAAATGTATTCAAGTATATTTACCCCAAGGATATTTACAATAGTGAAAAACTAGAAGCATTCTAAGAGCTCATCAATAGGGAATTAGTTAAATCTAGTAAATACAAGGCATTATCAGTTCAGTCATTTAAAAATTAGATAACTGTGTTTCCTTAAATGGAAAGATATCTACCAAGTAGTTTTTGAAAAATATTTACTAGGTAACATAATCACATAACTCAAAAGGTACAAGAGGGTATAGGATAAAAATTCTTTAACCCAGATGCCTGGCATCCCTTTCCCTTCTCAGAGACAACCAGCGATATCAATCATATTGTATTCCAGGATAGCTTATGAATATGTATGCTAACATATAAAAATATTTCTACCTTATCTGTATAATATTAGCATAATATATACTCCTTTCTGCACCTTTCCATTCGAATTATGTCATAGAGGTTATTCCACGTCAGTACATTATTAGTTTATATTCTTTCTATATGTTGCATATTATTCTACTGAGCAACATGTAGTTTATTTCACTAGTTCACTACTTGATGGACTTTTATCTTTTTAACCTATTGCTTGGGAAAAAAATGTTGTGATGAATAAGTTTGTCCTTTGCACATGTTTACAAATATCTGTGGTATATTTCCCTAGAAGTAAATTGCTGGGTCAAAAAGTATGTTCATTTATATTTAATTGGGAGTTGGAAAACATATGTATTTATTTGCTTTTTAAATAGGTAATACTAGTATACTTTACCCAGCCCAAAAAAGATTTAAGAGTGAAAAGTCTATTTCATATTAATTTCCTTCAGATGCCCAAATATTCTTAACCAGCTTCTTGCAATTACTTAAACATTAAGTACCTATAAGCATGCAGCTGTATATAGAAGAATCTTCCTTGTTCCAGTGGGGCTTTTTTTTTTTACATTATTAATTTAAGAACAGCATTAGCATCATTCGTACACATGTTAAAAATGGGGATTCTCAGACCTACCTCCTACTAAATCAAAATCTCTGGGGATTCTATCCAGGAATCTTAATTACTACCTCTCCAGGTGACTTTAATGCTCCCTAAAATTGAGAGTCACTGTTCTCCAGAGGTCAGAGTGCTCACATCAAAGTGTTGATTCAAAAGAGAGACAGGTTTGGTGTAACATATCTCATTGTCTTCTCACTGGGCTCAGCTGCACATCATCATCATTGGAGATCCCATCTATAAAAAAATACTGAAGAATGCAGGACTGCTTTTTGTTTTTTTCAGACAGGTCTCGCTCTATCACCCAGGCTGGAGTTAGGGGCACGATCTCAGCTCACCACAGCCTTGGCCTCTTGGGCTCAAGGATCCTCCCACCTCAGTCTCCAGAGTAGCTGGGACTACAGGCAGGCACCACCACACCCAGATAATTTTTATATTTTTTGTAGAGATAGGGTCTCATATATTGCCCAAGCTGGTCTTAAACTCCTGGGCTCAAGAGACCCTGCTGCCTGGCCTCCCAAAGTGTTGGAATTACAGGCTTAAACCACCATGCCCAGCGGCAGGACTGGTTAAAAATTCAACTATAAACCAGTGTAAGTCACTTGGTAATCACTGTAAGCCCCACATTATCTGTAATTTCCAAAACTCCTGGAGCACCAGAGAAAGAAGAGACATGAGTGAACATTTCTGTTTCTAGGTTTGCTTGATCATTGTTGTAAACATCTCAATAACCAGGCTCTTTTTTATCCTTCCTGTTCCTTGACTTGCTTGCCTTCCATTCCTTCTCTTTCCAGCCTCCCTCCTGCCCTCCTCTTGTTTCTTTCATTCTTTATTTTTTCTATCTTTTTCTCACTCCTAGTGCGAAGTGTGCTTTGCTCAGTTAAGACATGTAGGGGAAATAGGAATAATGGAAATTGTCTGTACAGTACTCAAGAGAATTGCAAAGTCATCCTGCAACAGTGAGTTTGTGTGCATACAAGTGTCTGCATATGCAAAGAAAAGGGTTGAAAGAAGCCACCTGAATGATAAACAATGAATTTCATGGTTATGTCTGGGAAACATAATCTAGTGTCTGATGATAGGGTCCTTTGCTTTTGGCTAGATGAACTTTTGACTGAATTTTTAATATAAGTGTGTATTACTCTTGTGAAAATTAAAAACATTTTAACTTTTAATGGGATCATATAATGGTGACGCTTTCTATTTTTCTCTCATCAACCATATATCACAAATACCTTTCTGTTGTTATATTCCAATGTTGATATGTCATCATGGAAGTGCTCCAATTTACTTATCTAATATTCACTAAGCATATTACTTTCATTTTTTTCTATTATAAACAATTTGATAAAGAAAATTTCTAAAGCTAAATCATTGCCAAAATTACCCATTTTCATTCGATTTTGATAGAAATTTTTTATGATGAAATTATTCTTCATATCAGTTTACCTTTTTACCAGTACTGTATAATATGCCCTTTTTGCCTAAGCCCACATTACTGATATTAAGTAATATATTCATTGCCAATTAGACGTGACTAATTTTTTTTATTAATAATAAAGTTGATTTGGGTTCCATGTTAAATAGTCATGATCCTATTATCTTTTATGATTTTTCCCTTTACATCTTTTTCTCAGGTTTCTGTTGGTATGTTTGTTCATCTTGTTGATGTGTAACAGCTTATAGAGAGAGGAAGAGAGAGAGAATATTAATTTTCTGTCATTTGTGGTGAAAATATTTTTCTGTTTATTGTCTGTCTTTTTGAAGTGAGATTTCCTGAAGTAAAGAAAATGTAAATTTTAGATTATAAAATCTATCTATTTTTTGTTTTTCTCATTATTGCTAAGCTTATTAAGTCCTTCTTCAATCCCCAAATCACATATTGGCCTAAACCTTACTTATTTTACATTTTTATCTTTGATTCACCTCAGAATTAGTCTTTGACTCACCTCAGAATTACCTCAGTATGGCAAGCGATGTGTGGTTCCAAAATTCAGGTCCTCCTAGAATTCTGGGAAGTTGTACCTTTAGCCGTTGTCTGCTCAATCTTCACCCACTGATCTGAAATGCTGTTTTACGATACACTAAATTCTTACATGGTTAGGCCATTTTATTCCACCACTTTCTATTCTGTTTCATTAACTTCTCTATGTAATGCCAATGTTTAAATTATTTTAACCAAAACCAAGCCTCAGAGTACCTGATTTATCAAGTTCCAACTCATTGCTATCCTTATGTAAAACTTTTTAGCTATTCTTGTACCTTTGTTTTTCTACAAGAATTATTATACTCTTTAAAATGATTTTGTATTATCTCCCTTTCCCACACCAAGTAAACTGCTTTTGATTTTGGTGAGGATTGATTTAGTTTGAAGAGAGCTGAGAGGCCCACAGGTTAGAGTCGCCCATCTGGTAACGTACTGTGTAGCTTCACTAATGTAATGATCGTGATCATGATAATTCAGTCATTGGGGAATTCACTTCTCTATGATCCATATTTTTTTGTGGTAAAAACAATACAGTCTGCAGTTTTTGTCTGGATCTTATTTGGATATTATGCTTATGCATTTACTCAAAAAGTATAACTTCCAAGCTCCGAGTTTTACCCAATATATCTCCATGCAATACTCTGCCTTGTTCTGACAAACTGGATGCCACCTCTGCCTGCTTTCTGTCCCCTTGTCCATTATCAGAGTGCTGTGTGGAGGGGGCATTCTCAGCTGACTGTGGTGAAAGCAAGGATGAGAAGGAAGGGCAGGGTGTTCTGAGCCCCCTTCAATAGGGACTATCATTTTGTGTTTGGAGTCTAAGGATTGTGTAATAACTTGTGTACCTCACAAGGGATATTGAATATCCTCTGGGTAGCAGGCACTCAAGAAGTAGCTGGTTGGTCAGGTATTGTGGCCATGTCTGTAATCCCAACACTGTGGGAGGCCAAGGTGGGTGGATTGATTGAGCCTAGGAGTTTGAGACCAGCCCGGGCAACATGGAGAAACCCCATCTCTACAAAAAATACAAGAATTAGCTGGGCATGGTGGTGCGTGCCTATGGGCCCAGCTACTCAGGAGGCAAAGTGGGAGGATTGCTTGAACCCAGGAGGCAGAGGTTGCAGTGAGCCAAGATTGCACAACAGAGGAGACCCTGCCTCAAAAAAAAAGAAAAAAGAAATAAAGAAATAAATAGCTTACCGGTATCACTGTTTAAACATAACCTGCCCACCAAGGCAGTGCTTTACTTTCACATATTTGACTTCATGCAGCCTGAGCCTCTACCCTGATAATCTGACTCCCATAAACTGCCAGCACCAAGCAACCATGAGTGATGATTTAAAGATGTTACCTGGTGTCACTGTCAGCCAGAGACAGCAGGGGCAGGGGTTAGGGATGGGGAAAGACCAATCCTCAACCAAGGCAGCCAGGCTGGTGCAGCAGCAATAAGGGCTCGTGGTGGCGCCACCCAAGAGCCTGGCTTCCGGCAGGCTCAGGACAGCTGCTGAGGCCCTGGAGTTTGCTTACTCAGGAGGGCAAGATGCGGTCCCTTCTGTTATGTTGTTGAATATCCTCTCTCTAAACCAGTCACCTCCTCTACTGATGCTTGGTCCCTCCCAAAATTCTCTCTCCCCCGCCTTCCCAGGAGTATGGGTTAACACCCAGTTGAAAAGCCTCCATACAACAGGTCGGGCTTACAAAGCACAGGACTTACAAAGCACCTGATGCAGGATTTTGGCACACTGTAGGGACTCAGGAAAGGGTAGCTCTCATTGTTAATGTCAGAACTTGTGTCTGCCCAGCCCATTCTCCTTTCTCCTGTACGATGATGGCTGCCTTCAAGGACATCATTGTTCGTTTTCCTAAAATAGATTTTAAACATGCATTTACCCAGTTTCTTTTAAATGATAAACACAATGACCTTTTCAAATGATTGAATGTCAGTTGAGGATCTCTGATTTTTCATTTGTTGTTTTCATTACATTTAGGGGAGAGACGGGAGGTAGACTAATGACAAAAATTGATTCTTCTTTTTACTTTCTCCAGGTTGTGCTTAGTTCAGCACTTCTAATCTTTAAATGGGATTCCTTTAGCTAGCAAGCAATGCAAATGTTCCAAATGTAATTAAGCTCAGAAATCCATATATCCACAAACCAAGAGTGCCAACTCATTTTGACTACCTAGCCACTCTTTTAATATTTCCTAATAGGATATATTAGGAAGTCCTATTTTTTCACCAATAAGAAATGCTGTGTGTTTGATCAGAAAACAGTTATAGGAGGACATCTGTACAGTGAGGCCAAATGGTTCAAAGTGTTCTTTTGCTGCATAGCTCTGGGAGATGTGGAGATTTGTTGCTTTGTAGTGGAAGAAAATAACAACTATATTAACTATTGGATAAAACTTCCAAACTATTGTTCTCTGGGGATCACAATTGTTAAAACTTGGTTCAATTCATCAGTGATTTATTGAGCACCTACTAGATGCCTGATGCCCATGCTAAATCCTTTGCATAAAGTGTAATGTGGAATTTCTATGACAGAGGTGTGCCCGGCATGCCACGGAAGCACAGTGAAGCAGCACAGAGCCGACTCGGGGGATTCACTTTCTGAGGGAGCATTAGTTAAACCAATCTTGCTGTTGTAAAACGCATGACAGATATATGGGAGATAATACTAGCAAAATAAACAGGGCCAGGTCACAAGGCTCTCACAGGCCATGTAAGGACTGTTATTAGCTGTTAAGGAGTCATGGAAAGGTTTTAACTGAGGAATAATATAATCTAATGTGTATTCTGAATAGATTAGTCTGGTAGGTATACAGAGGAAATTCAGAGAAAATGCTAAGGTTTCCAGCCAGGCATGGCAGTAGTAGTGGTGTGGAGGAAAATTGTTTTTAATGTTTAGAATATCAAATTGGCAGATTGGATGTTGAGCATGAGGGAGAAAGGGGAGTTTCTAGAACTATTTGCTTAATTTGCATCTTATGGAGGAAGAAATTTTTTTAAAAAAGCTTTAGTTCACTCATCAATTCACAAAGCCTATAAATTTTTTATAGAAAAAAATACTTTTATAGGACTAATATTACAAAACGATGTGTTAGTTTTAATTCATGTTCTGTTCTCTTCTGAGTACTAAAGTGGACTTTACGCCACCTTATACAAATATGCCATATATTTAAAAATCTGTATTTGTCAAGTAAACAAAGCTAATTATTCTCTTTATAAAATGATTATTTGTTCTAGAAAATGAATCTTTATATGACACTTTTAAACTGTTAGCTCTAAATATGATTTAATGTATTATTCTTCAGAAACGCATCCATTTTCTAAAACCAGACATACACATACTTTCAAGCTGATTTATTTTTTCCCAGGATACTTTTATTTTTGAGAGTAAGTGGCAGATCAGTATTTTTTGGATTCATTCATTCAGTCAGTTAAGAAATAGATTCCTATTCCATGCCAAATACTATCTTCTACATTTCAGTTGTGATGATGAATGAAACAGACGGAATTTTCTATCCTCATAGAATGCACACTCTAATGGATTATACCTTTTTCCTTTTATGAAGTAGAATATGCTATTTGGTTTGCTAATTTTAAGTATTTCCTGGAACAGTGCTTTGCACAGAGTGGGAACTTTCTATAGATTTATTTAGCTGAATAAATTCTCAAAATCAGAAAGTGACTCCAATAATAATGTTGTGTAAATGATTTCACCATTTATAATATTCTGATTTATGTCAGACTCAGAAGAGATGCCAGACTATGCATTCTTGTTTTTTTTTAAAAATTAATTCAGATATACAATTGTTTGTTGGGAGAAAAAGACATTCTGATTTGAATACTCCTAATTTGCTCACTTAATCTCTCATCAAATAGTATGCTGTCTTTGCATTACTTCAAACTCTTACATCCCAGTATAAACCAAATTACCTTGTCTATACAGTTCATGATTTTGCAAAGCACTTTCATATACTGAGAGAGGGGAGAAGTTTTAAAGCCATTGTTTTTCTAGTACTACCTGTGTGGTGCAAAAGACTGATTACCCATGGCATTTTCTGTCTCTCTTTCCGCCTTAGGAGCAGAGTCCCAGTTTTTGGATAGGCACGATTGCCGCCCAGTAGAAGCTCCTACTTTCCCCAGGCTCCCTCGTAGCTATATCTGTCCACTATACTGTGGCCAATAACGTGAGTGAAAGTGTTGGATAAGACTCCAGGAAGGCTGTTGAAAGGGAGGTGACTGATTGGAGAGAGGATCTTTCTTACCCTTTGGTCATCACTGTTTCTTCCAGCATAGAACGCAGACAGGATGACTGGGGTTCCAGCAGTCATTTTCACCACAAGGTGACCTTGAGAATAAAGAGTAGAGAGTAGAGGCCTATGTCCCTGCTGGCATCATAGAGCCACAGTATCAGACCTGGTATTCCCTATCTTGTACATGGAGAGAAATGATTTTTATCTTGTTTTAGTCACTGATATTTCGGGTCTCTGTTTTCTCCTGCCAAATCTAATCCTAACAGATACTGCTTTAGAAAACTAATCAATGACACCAGCAAAGAGTTAGACTCCCCCTACTGGAGAATCTGTTGTTAACTCACTCCTTTTTCCCTTCAAGTGGCTCTTGGCTATCTTCTAAACCTGCTTTCAGTCAGATTTCCGTGTAAGTCTGGGAAAAACTGAAGAAAACTGATTTGTGATCTCACTTGTGGGGTGGGGCAGGGGCCTGGGCTCTCTCACCTCACCAGACACGGGTGTATATGACCTACTCGCCAGGAAGACATCAACCATTTCTGGTCAACTTATATTTTCTTTTTATATCTCTGCATACCTCTTTTTAAAAAAAAGTCTTATCAATCAGCAAACCAGGAAAACCCGGGAGCTGCATGCAAAATCCAATTTGTTGTTGAGTCTCCCAGCATCTACTGGGATGGCAAATTTCTAACCAGGTATCATCATATTCCCCAGCTCACAGCAGACATTACTAATCAATCCTGACACTCTTGCTTGCTAGGCCCTGATGTGCCTCTGAAACTTTATCAATATGACCTGTCAGACTAAGTTTCTCTTTGTTTACACGCT